CTCTGCCAAGAACCCTGCTCACTGCCTGTCCACTCCTCAGGGACCTGGAATCCATACTGTCCCACCCAGGACGGGGAATATTTGGGCCGCATGTGCCATCCTGCCGTCCCTGTGGTTGTCCTTCCACCGCTGCAAGCCCGGCTAGGAAATTTACTAGAACTGGCACATCTGTAATGGGTGATGGAAAGTGAAACTAAGTGTTAGGGGACAATGTTAGGCAAGAGCATTTGTGGCCAAAATAGCTGTAACTCAGCAAGTCAAATAGACTTCTTCATCTCTGAGACCCTGAGAGAAAACAAAAAGCCTCATTTGTAACTTAAAATTGTGTTTGAATTAGGGTTGCCAGATTTAGGGGGAAAAAAGTACACCTGGCTAGATCTGAATTTCAGATAAACAACCAATCACTTTTTAATATAAGTATGTTCTGAATATATACTTACACTCAGAAGGTACTGGTTGTTTATCTGAAATTCAAATTTAACTGGGTACCCTGTATTTGATCTGGCAACTCTAGTTTGGATATACCTGCATGTTCAATAAAGAAAATTGAAATATTAAATTTCCAAACCAGTTGTTTAAAGTTATGGAACAAAGCTATCAACTAAATTCAGCCATTTGTCTCTCACCAAGGACTTGGCCAGTTGTGCCGCCACACAGTGATCCGGAATTAGGGAATAAGGAGTATGCATTTCCTGATGCTCTTGAAACTCTCTCCATATTTCTTCCATTTTCTGACAGATTTATCTCCAGTTTATTATAGAGTTCTGTGACAACTCAGAAGAGAAGGGTGTATTCAGGGTCTCAACTATGAAATCAAAAAGTGCAGGGGGAAAAGAAATGTCCAGGGGTTCCTGAAAGGAAAGAGAACCTATGTTAAGTTCAAACTGGCATTCATGATATGATATACTTTTATAAAGCACAATAGGTAGGTAGCACCCAGAGTATTACAAACTGGAGAATTTGGCTTGGCTTAACAAATATTTATGTGAAACGGAAGTTGGCTACTTACAGAATATGAACATCATTGTCTTCAAAGTAATAACTCATACTCTAATGTATATCTTCAAACTTGAACTGCCCAGCTTATCTACATAAACTAGTCAAATGAACTAGGAAAGTGCCAGGTAACCCTATTGTTTTGTATCTCCTATGAGCAAACTGACTGGCTCAAGAGCCAAAAGACAGGGGTTAAGCTTCCACTCTGCCACTTACAGATTTAGCCTTTCTTACCTATAGTTTCTTTATATATTGAAAGAAATCATAATTTTTGTCCTACATGCCTCATTAGTTTTTTATTTTTAAGTTTTTAAGGGAAAAAAATCATGACAAACTTCTCAAAGTGCACACATATTAGATTTAATCAGTGTGCCATATGCTATTTTGTATTTGCTTCTTTTTCTGAACTTTGAATTTTCATCTATCAGTATCATACCCATATTTATCCTCATTGGTGCCTTTATGGTATGACATCATATTTATATCTCAGAGTTGTCCCCAATTATCAAATATTTATCAAGTTTCTAGCTTTTTTCTGTTAAAGAAAGTATTGTTCTAGCTTTTTTCTGTTAAAGTATTATATCCATCTTCATACAAATGGTATTTTTTTCTCTTTTGGTTTACTTTGTTGGGACGTGTTCCTTGGAACAAGTTGCTTAGCTTTTGTTATCTATTGTCAGGTAACTTCAGGAGAAGCGGAGCCTATGGACTCCTCTGTGCACCTAGGGCCTATCCCACATTGTCTTTTTACTTTTTGATTTATCCTAATTAATAGAAAGACAGTAGTAATTGTTTTAATTGAAGCTCTTTGTCAAGGTGGCTGAATGTTTTTCAATATCTCATATCATAATTGCATTTCAACATGTATAAATATTTCTCCATCTTTCTCTTGCCTCAGCCTTTCCACATTATGGATAATAGACTTTTGTGTCTATATTTTTAAATTTGTTTTTATCTTTCTGTTGCACTTTCTTTCATCTTAAGGTTTTGTTACTGTCCATCATATAGAATACTTCACTTTAATATAATTGAACCCATCCTTGTCCCTAATATCTTCTTCCACATTTAAGATATATAGTCTATTTCATTTCCTTCTAAAGTTTTTATGGGAATGTTTAAAATGTTTAACTATATAGCTCATCTGGAATTTATTGTGGCTGGTGAGAATCAAGAAGTATATTGAGAAAAGTAAAAGATTTAGAATTAAAAAAAATTAATTTGTGTCCAACAGCAATAGCTATGGCCTTAGGCAAGTCACTTAACCTCTTAAGACTCAAGGTCCTCTATTAGACTGAAGGCAGGAACCTTGTCTTTTTTCTTTTTGTCTTCCCTACAATACTGAGCAAAGTTCCTTACATGTAGAATAAGTTTTATAAGGTGTATATTTAAGTTACATTTTTTGCATATTGCTACCCAGTTGTTCCAACAGCAGTAATTGAATAATGATTCATTTCCCAATTATTTATTTGGTTGCTTGTGATCGATCATATATCAGTGATACTCAGATGTGTTCCAATGGCAAAGCACCTGGAAGTTGTGGCACTTCTTGCAAAACATCATGAAATATGGAGATATTAAAGTTAAAATAATGAAAATTAAAATTTGATGCTAGGGCTTCCCTGGTGGCGCAGTGATTGAGAGTCCGCCTGCCGATGCAGGGGACGCGGGTTCATGCCCCGGTCCGGGAAGATCCCACATGCCCCGGAGCGGCTGGGCCCGTGAGCCATGGCCGCTGAGCCTGCGCGTCCGGAGCCTGTGCTCCGCAACGGGAGAGGCCACAGCAGTGAGAGGCCTGCGTCCCAAAAAAAAAAAAAATTTGATGCTAAATCAGACACCAGCTTACATTAGATTCTAGTATGGTATAGATACCAACAGTTTGTCTTAATTTATGGGAAATGTTAAAATAGATAAAATTCAATCCAATAACTGAATTCTTTCTAAGAATCAGGAAAAGAATACCCACCTATGAAACAGCAAGTTCATCAAGAGCAAAAGTTGAGAACCACGTCTTATAGTAAGCATTCCCAGTTGAGAATATAAAATAAAAGCTTCTGATCAATTGTAAACTTTACATAAAGTCCAACTGAATGGGGCTGAACGTCAGCTGAACCCCAAAACTATTTAAGATCAGTCTTTTGAGTTGTCAAGTTTGGAATTCCTGTAATAGTAGAAAGTCTAAGAGGGAGTAAATGTCAGATCTCCAGTGCATGCTCACACCAGCAACCTTAACTCTAGATGTTTCTGTTCATTAGTCTATGAATCAGAGGAGATAACATAAAAGAACCTCACAACCTTATGTTCTACCATATTACAGAATATGAACTTCATAAAGTGTATGGAGGTAGGTATGTTGGAACTATCAGAAAGTACCCTTATCAATTCTGGATTCCTTGTACTCTGAGAATGATGCCAGTACAAGAGGCTTGAATCCTGTTCTCTGCACAGTTCCTGAAGATGTGGACAGGGATGTCTGTTAAGGTTACTGGAACCTTCTGCAAGCACCATCATATGGCTATGCTAATTAATATTTTTTCATGGAGCTTACTTTCACTTAAATTTGACTTTTTTTTTTTTTTTTTTTTTT